GGTGAGAGGGGAAGCATGGGAGGAATGGAGGAACTTTGGATAGGGCAAAGGTGAGGGAGGGGTAAGAAGGGAAAATGTGTACTACGAATTGAAATGTATTCTGCTGTCATGTATAACAAATTAGAATATATAAATTTATTTTTTCTTAAAAAAGTAATAAAGGGATGTAGTTCAGCAGTAGAGAGCTTGCCAAGTATGCCAGGCCCTGGTTGGATTCCTACTATTGCTAAAAATAATGATGATGATGATGATGATGATGATACCTGTATAATTCCAGTTACTCTGGAAGCTAAGGCAGGACAATCACAAATTCACAGATAGCCTAGGCAACTTAGAAAGACTCTGTCAAAAAAAAAAAAAATCTAAAAAAGAGCTGGGTATGTACTTCAGTGGTAGAGTGTTGCTTAGCATGAGGGAATCCTTGAGTTCAATCCCTACTACTACTCAGATGTTTTTAACCTTTCACTACACTATGTATATATACATGAGATAGTGCACTACATGATCTCTATTATCCCATTTAATACTCTTAGTACTTTGAGGTTGGTAGTAGTCTGTCTCCCTTCCTTCCTTAAGATTGAACCCCAGGTGCTCTACTACTCTGCTACATCCCCAGCCCTTTTTTATTTTGAGATAGAGTCTCACCTATTTGCCTAAGATGGCCTTGAATTTGTGATTCTTCTGCCTCAGCCTCCCAAGTGGCTGGGATTACAGGTGTGTACCACCATCCCAGGCTGAACGGTATTATTAATTTAGATTAAAAATAGGCTCAGAAAGATAAAGTAACTTTTTTACATTACATTGTAAGTGGTGGAACTAGTATTCAGCAAGCCCTTTTTGACTTGGGAGGCTGAGGCAGGAGGATACCAAATTCAAAGCTAGCCTCAGCAACTTAGCTAGCAAGGCCCTAAGCAACTTAGTGAGACCCTGTCTCAAAATAAAAAATAAAAAGGGCTGGGGATGTAGCTCAGTGGTTAAGTGGCCCTGGGTTCAATACCCAGTACCCTCCCCCGAAAAAAGAAAATCCCAGAAAACATATTCCATTCATTTCTCTTCAAATGTGCCCAGCTGTTATTTTTTTTGTTTTTCTTTTTTTGTTTTGTTTTGTTTTGTGGTGCTGGGGATTGAACCCAGAGCCTTGTGTATTCGAGCTAGGCAAGCACTCTACCAACTGAGCTATATCCCCAGCCCTGGACTCAATCAATTCTTAAACTAAGTGGAAAGAAATTTCCTTTTGCTTTCTTTAGTAACTCCACTTCCTAAAGAATATACACAGGATTCATGGTACTCTTCTTTTAATATTTCTATATATAAAATTAGAGGAAAATTCATTAAATTGGAAATTTAGCTCCCTCACTCCAACAAAAATAGCCTATCTCCAATTTGCATGACATCTTTCTTCCTCTGAAGCATAAAACCACATCCATTAGTTTACTCATCCTCAATCAGTCGACAATGTTTCCTGATCCCAGCACTGAATTAGGTAGCCTGGAAAGTTACAAAGATGATACAGGATCTCATTTATATACATTATACCCACAAAGTAAGAAAAATATAGTTATTAAAATTATATCCTTGCTGGGAATCTTAGTCAATGGAAGAGCAGGGACTAAATTTTCAGGCCAGTCTAGGTGTCTTTATATATGAACAAGTGAAAGAAAAATAGTACCTACTAAATTAAGCAGACATCAAAATTAGACAAATCTAAGTAATTTGTGGATGATGCATGCCTCTACACCCTTCTACACATGACAAAGGACCATTGCTCCTATAAGTGGTGGTTTCCACATGTCCTTAATGCATACAAAGAGACATGCACTCCTTAAATGGGCTACTTTTTGCCACTGTCCCTAAAAACATCCTGTTTCTGCCACAATCCACTAGCAATGTGTTTGGTCCCCAACATAAGGACCTGTTTGAGGAGCCTATACCTATTATCTACCTTCAAAGTCCAAATAAAAGCCAAGCACTCCAAATAAAAGCCAAGCACTCCAACTAAGGAATCTGAGGCAGGAGAATCTCCTGAACCAGCCTGGGAAATTTAGTCAGAAACTCTTTAAAAAATAATAATAATAATAATAATAAAGGACTGGGAATATGGCTCAGAGGTAGAGGGCCTCTGGGTTCAATACCCAGTACCACAAAACAACAATAAAAAAAGACCAAGAATCTTAGCTGTAACTACTAGAGGAACAATTAAAGAATAAAATTAAAGAATAACTGTTCCTCTAATCTTCAAGCTATAGATAAGAAGTCATGTAAGAGTCCACATTTCTGGTAACTCTGGAAACTGTTTCCTGATTATGTATATGCCTTTTCTTTTTTTGGTACTGGGAATTAAATCCAGAGGTGCTCTACCACTGAACTATATTCACATCCTTTTTTATTTTTAATTTTGAGACAGTGTCTCACTAAGTTGCTCAAGATCTCACTAAATTCCTGAAGCTGGCCTCCAACTTGATATCCTTCTGCTTTACCTCCCAAGTTGTTACAGCTGTGCCACTGCACCCAGTTATGTATGTATTTGCATCTTCTGAATTACTTTTTTTTTTAAAAGAGAGAGTGAGAAAGGAGGAGAGAGAGAGAATTTTAATATTTATTTTTTAGTTATCAGCAGACACAACATCTTTTTTTTTTGTATGTGGTGCTGAGGATCGAACCCAGGCCGCACGCAAGCCAGACGAGCACGCTACCGCTTGAGCCACATCTCCAGCCCTGAATTACTTTTTTTTTTTTAAAGAGAGAGTGAGAGAGGAGAGAGGAGAGAAAATTTTTAATACTTATTTATTTATTTTTTTTAGTTCTCGGCCGACACAACATCTTTGTTGGTATGTGGTGCTGAGGATCGAACCCGGGCCGCACGCATGCCAGGCGAGCGCGCTACTGCTTGAGCCACATCTCCAGCCCCCCTGAATTACTTTTATATATAACACTAGAGCAAATATCACAGTGGTAAGAAGGAGAAAATTGCCAACGGTAGCAAATTTCTACAAACCAGTCATTTTCCCCAAGACTATTCCCTTAAATAATTGTGATGATACAATATGCCAAATAAAACAATATCAAGGGGGGTGGGGTTTGGCTGGGTGGTAGAACACTTGCCTAGCATGTGTGAAGCACTGGGTTCAATCCTCAGCACTAAATATAAATGAATGAATAAAATAAAGGTCCATCAATGTCTTAAAAAAAAAACAATAACAAGGGGCTGGGGTTGAGGCTCAGCAGTAAAGCGCTTGCCTCGCATGTGCAAGGCACTGGGTTCAATCCTCAGCACCATATAAAAGGAAATAAATAGAATAAAGGTATTGTTTCCAACTACAACTCAGAAAAAAATTTTTTTTAAAAAAGTATCAATCAACAGCTTCATTCTACTTGCCAAAATTTTGAAAGTAATTCTGTGTACCTACACCTTTGGAAAAAGTATTTCACAGTGGAAGAACTCTTGCCTAGCATGTGCAAGGCAAAACTCTGGAGTCAATTCCTAGTATAAAAAAAAAAATTGAGGGCTGGGGATGTGGCTCAAGCGGTAGAGCGCTCGCCTGACATGCGTGCGGCCTGGGTTCAATCCTCAGCACCACATACAAATAAAGATGTTGTCTGCCAATAACTAAACAATAAAACATTAAAAAAATTCTCTCTCTCTCTCTCTCCTCTGTCACTCTCTCTTTAAAAAAAAAAAAAAAAATTGAGGGGAGGGGAGGGGGGATAGTAGAGGATAGGAAAGGCAACAGAATACAACAGACACTAATATGGCAATATGTAAAACAGTGGATGTGTAACCGTTGTGATTCTGCAATCTGTACACGGGGTAAAAATGGGAGTTCATAACCCACTTGAATCAAATATATGAAATATGATATCTCAAGAACTATGTAATGTTTTGAACAACCAATAATAAAAATTTTTTAAAAAAATTGTTTTCTACTAGATTGCCTTCCAAACTTTAAGAATTGTCAAACTGTGCACTTAGAAGCACTATTAAATCTAGAGAAAAATTATCAATGTCTCTTACCTGAATCACACAGCAAGCAATATCAAAGCCAAATCTAATTAAGAGGTATTCAAGCCGGGCACAATGGTGCATGCCTATAATCCCAGAGAATGGGAAGGCTGAGGCAGGAGGATCACAAGTTCGAGGCCAGCCTCAGCAACCTAGAGAGGTCTTAAGCAACTTAGGCAGAGCCTGTCTCAAAAAATAAAAAAGGCTGGGGATGTAGCTCAGTGATAAAGCTACACTTTATCAGGGGGCTAGAGGGAGAAGGAGGGAGAGGAGAGGGGGAGAGGAAGAGAGAAATTGTATTCGGACCTCTAAAGGCCCAATCACAAACATTTATTACAGCTTCAAATGCTGCCTCAACTTTTTAAGCTTTAGGTCTCCTAGTCACCTGGCAAAATAGCTCTACAAATTTACCAAAGACTTGGAAGAAAAAAAAAGAATACATTAGTTTCAACACCAAATAAATAATACAAATTTGCGAATTACAAAAGAATAGGGTAAAGACAGTAAATTCTGCAGCTGACTGCAACACACACCAGAACAGAACCTGTGTTACCTAACGAAACATTACCTACTGCTCATAAAGCAGGTCGGTCTTTAACAACTTAAGTACGCCAACCATTTTTCATGTTTAAATGGATTGTTACAAATTGTCCAGGTCAAGACTGATGGCAAAATCCCAAATTGGTTTTCGGCGAAGAACCACTCTACATAGAGCATCACACAAAAGACAGGAGCAAACAGGAACACGTTCGGGGCCTTCGTGAATTGCGGCCGGGAGCTGAGGTCTTCGGCCGAGACCTCACAACAAGGAGAGAAGGAACGAAGGCCGGGGAAGGAAGGAAGGGGTAGGTGTGGGGGTGGGGTCCACTTCCCTGAAAGCGCCACGGAGCGAGTGCAGCAGCACTAAGGAAGCAGCAGACCGGCATCGGCGGCTTCCAGGCCAGCTACACCCTTGAGCCCACACCAGGCCTATCCCTCTCAGCCCGGTCCGCTTCCTCACCTCCCTCACGTCCTGCAGACATTCGAGCACCGCCAGGTTGTTGCTCCAGGTGTGCTTGGGGCACACACGGGTCACGTCCTCCCTGCAGGACTCTTCCTCCGCCAGTTTCCAGCCCCCGCCAGCCCCGCCGGGCCCCGCTCCGCCCCGACGGGCTGGAGGCCCACCCGCGAGGAAAGGCTGCTGAGGCGGCTGCTGCTGCTGCTGCTGCTGCTGCTGCTGCTGCTGCTGCTGCTGCTGCTGCTGCTGCTGCTGCTGCTGCTGCTGGAGCTGCGATGACTGAGGCAACTGGGGCGGCTGCTGACCTACCGGGCCGCCGCCTGCAGCCTGCCCTAGGAAAGGCACAAAGTTGGCGGCCAGGCCTTGGCCTTGGTTGTGGCCGCCCTGGCCAGTGAGTTTGTCGGCCCCGGCCGCCGCTAGCAGCAGCAGCTGCAGCGCCGCCGACAAGCGGAACATCCTCCGTACACGTCCACACGCCGCCATCTTGGGTCCGCGGCGAGCTCGACGCACTCGCCGGCGCCGCGTATTTAAATGAGGGGCGGAGCTTCGGGCGTGGGCCGGCGTGGCCCGGACAAGCCCCTCCCCTGCCGGCTCCGAGCCGCGACCCGGGAGCGGGGCGATTGAGTAGGCCGTGCTTCACATGGCCCACCTAGTGGGTCGGAAAGCGGCGCTCCTTACCCAGAGAGGAGCTGGGGTTTTTTAGGAAGCCTGGCTATGGGCGACACGGTCTGCTTTCCTTGGTTATTGTCACAGAAAAATACCAAAGGAGTTAGAGTTGCCACAACCAAGATGGCCGATGGAATACGTCGCTGGTTCAATGACTTGGGTAAAAGAAAAACTTTATGTGTGAACAGGTGAACTTTACACGACCAGGTGTATTCCAGAATCTAAGAACTTCTTAGAACTGTGCCTCCTTCCTTCCACCTGCCTCAAAATTCTTTCTTACCCAGAAGGAAAGGCAGCATTGAATAAGGGTTCAGAGCACAGCTCATAATCCTTGCTCTTTGGCAGATTAGGTAAGAGGTCAAATGTCAAGTGAAATTGTAAAAGCTAGAGATAAAAACAAGGAAAGTGCCTAACACATTAAGGAACTCCAAAAGTTATAGCCAATATTATTAGTAAACAGTGAATCCAGGCGTGGTGGTGCACCCCTGTGAATTCAAAGCCAGCCTCAGCATCTTTGAGAGACCCTAAGCAACTCAGACCCCTGTCCCCGTCTCTAAGTTAAAAAAAAAAAAAAATGATGTGGCTCAATGGTTTAAACACCCCTGTGTTCAATCCCTGATTCCAATGGTGGAGGAGGGGTGGCAGAGAGAGAGTGAAGCCCTTTGAAAATCTTCATTTTAAGTCAGAACTTAGACTAATATTTAAAGGATTTAAAAACAAAACAACAACAACAAAAAAAAACAGGCCTTTGAGGACTCTGGTTAAGTATGTGTCAGCAGCTATTTTGTATGCTGTTCTGCATGCAACATCTTCAGCAGCACTTTAGGCACCCCACCCTAGTATCTCCTCCTTGTTAGGAAAGATATCTTCCCAATCCAGTTATCTTCTTTTCTTTACATTCATTGTCTCATTTCATGCATGCATCAGATCTAGGTTAGGTTCTAATTCAGCTAAGGAATGAGACAAAGTTGTTCCGCACAGGGAAATTAAAGTGAGCTTCCCAGGATTAACTCTGCCAGACTGTTGATAGCCTCCAAACAAAATCCCTGGATCTTCCCAGCTCACTTGTGCACTTTTATCCTATTCTGCCATTATAGGATGTTGGTGAATGAGGGCATCCTGGGACAGGTAATCCCTGCTGGTTACCATGTTAAAAATGCAGTTTCTACTGAAGGTCAGATCAGATAAAACTAGAACCTAACAAGTCAGGCAGGGGTTTTAGGACCATGAAAGGAATTCTTGAGACAGAATATGGTATGGGTACAAATTGCCCACTGTGTCTGACCCCAAACTTCTATCTCTAGGAATAAGAGCATGTTGGCCTCTCCACCAAAGCTAACCCTTGCTACAGTCACAAAATAATCCTGAGTCTGCTGCCACCTTGAGCATTGACTCAGACAGCCCAGGGTGGACTAGGATAAATGTGCATGTTCATTAGCAGACTCATGGAATAGATAAATCTCAGTTAAGCAAGCCAGAGACATCACTCAAATTCCTTGAGGAGTCACTGGGGGCAATTAACTTTCTTTCTTTTCTTTTTTTTTTTTAAAGAGAGAGTGAGGGGGGGGGACAGAGAGAGAGAATTTTAACATTTTTATTTATTTTTCCTTAGTTCTCGGCGGTCACAACATCTTCATTTGTATGTGGTACTGAGGATCGAACCCGGGCCGAACACACGCTAGGCGAGCGGGCTACCGCTTGAGCCACATCCCCAGCCCCAAGGGCAATTAACTTTCAATGCTGGGTCTGCCTAGCAAGTGGAAGATTTTTTATTTATTTATTTATTTATTTTTGGTAGGAGGATTGAACACAGGAGCACTTAACCACTGAGCCAGGGATTTTATATTTTAGAGACAGAGTCTCACTGAGTTGCTTAAGGCCTCACTAAATTGCTGAGGCTAGTTCAGAATTCTTGATCCTCCTGCCTCAGCCTCCTGAGCCACTGAGATTACAGGCATGGGGCTGGGGATGTGGCTCAAGCGGTAGTGCGCTCGCCTGGCATGCGTGCGGCCCGGGTTCGATCCTCAGAACCACATACCAACAAAGATGTTGTGTCCGCCGAGAACTAAAAAAAAAAAATGAATATTAAAAATTCTCTCTCTCTCTCTCCTCTCTCACTCTCTCT